GTTATAAACGTGCCCGGAAATTATCTCTCGAAATTTTATACGATATTGAACACGGTAGGTGGCTACGCCGGTAAACGCTGGGAGCATATACATCATGCACGATATTGTTATAATAATTGCACGAGTGTGTGTCTTATTAATTATTTAGTCGAGTCGAGTCGTACGTAGATAAATATGTGTACAAAGACAGCGTAAAACATTTCAAAGAAGGTATTATTGCTGCATATAATTATCGGGCGCCCCCGTTACGCGCAGAATTATCTCATATGCAAATTATTCGCAGAGTCAACAATTAACAACTAGTGTAGAGAACACGCTGCTCGCTATTCTCGTGCACGCGCACTTATATCGAAAACCGGCTGTATGGCTTTTAATTAAACGACGATACCTGATGACGTGCAATTATACGCGATACGGACTTGAGTTATTATTTTTTTTTTTACGCACTCTGTGTGCACACTCGTACCGCGAGTGTCTTCGTCAGAATATAGCACTTTCGGTAGCCGAACCGTATAAACGCGATTCGATTAAACTCGTGTACTTGTGGGGTTGTACGAAGACGCGCCGAGTCGTCATGCTCGTTGGTTCGTTTTTTTGTTTTCGTAGCACGGCGCTCTGAGTATGCAATTTAACAGCGCGCCGCGGTGCCGTTGTTCCGTCTCCCACTCACACAGTCGTTACCACCGAACGGCCACAAAAAACGTCATAATATTACTGTTAGAATGAATTTTATCATTACAATTCACATGAAATTGCTATTATTATAAATTGTATTTTTGTGTATCGATTTCGCTTTTTATTGATTTACTCTACCGTCGACCGTACACAAGACCCACGTTTCAACTACGAGCTTTTATATAAGAACTAAAAAATATCATTGATTCAACATTTTAGGAAATCGATTTTATTCACCTGTTTTGGGATTAGATAAGTACTTTATTATCTAAATAATTATAAAGATAGTACAACAGATAATTATCTAGATAAGGATAATAGATAACTAAATAAATATTTATTTAGATAAAAAAGATCATTTTTTCAAGAATATTTAAATCTGACTTTTTAAGAGTGTGCATTGCTACTACTTGTATATGGTTTAAACACAGATAATATGCTTAAATGAAAGTTTGTAATAGACTTCATTATTAGTGAACAATTGAAATCAATAATTCATTTTTAAAATTAAATATTTAATAATTATAATGATATAATTTTAAATGAAAGAACACTTTGTTTGATGTTAAATATTTTATATCATAAATAAAGTATAGTTTGATAATATGAATATTATTTACAGTTTCAAAGCTCAATTCATTATATAAATTATAAATAGTTTCATAAAAATAACAAATATTTAAATAAAAATAAGTAAAATATTTTTATTATAAATTACAATATAAATTACCTACAAGATATCTTATATTATTTTGTCAAAAAATGCGATAAATTATTTTTGTTTATGCTTCACTATGAAACCCGTAGTCCTCATGGTTAATGTGCCGAAAAAAGTAGATAAAAAATGTTGTTATAATAACGAAGAAAAGAAAAAAAATATTTACTCTGCTTATACGTGTGTTATAGTTAAGTAGTTACACTCCTTTGATTTCTTCTTTTTATTTCCCCTTTATCGAAAAAGATATTTGCCGTCTGCAGTCTATAACACCATTGCCAAAAACGTATGACTAGGTAGTCCTAATCTAACGTTGAATTGCCTATTTGATTGTGTGCACCGAAGGGCCGCTATCCAAATTTTATAAAAGGTCGTACAAATGTATACAAATTACGTAATAAACGAACGTTAGAATGCCCATTATAGTTATTTGATCCATAAAAACACATACACAATTGGCGTGAGAAAAACGACTCAAATAATATTAGGAATTTAATCGTCAATAATACAATCCAAGCACGTATTCCTCCTTTACGTCTTGTAATATTTTATTTTTACATTTATTTTACGTGGCTCGAAGATTTTTTGCACTTGTGGTACGGAAAAAACCTAGAAAATCCTCTAGAACAGTGCATGTATATAAATATAATACGAATCTAAATACTACGACTTTGTAACAGATAAGCTCTTGGTTGACTTCATAAACGGTTTAAACACACACACACACACACACACACACACACACACACACACACACACACACACACACGCATGTACGCATGCCGAAACATGATTTTCTAGGTCAAAGTGGTTGTTATAGGTTTATGCGTGCACATAAATCTAATAGATACGAAAACTAAGTGGGTAATTTAATACGTGTAGGTATGGAACAGCGTGCGCGTGAAAACGGACAGTGCGTGTGTGTTAGAGGTAAATTCAAAGTGTCGATACTTAAATAAACCTCGAAAACGATTCCGGTGTAATAAGTACATCGATTTAAATAGGTTAACTTATATATATATATATATATATATACGACAATGAACGTTAGTACTTAAATCGCTCGCATATGTATTAATGATTTAATGGTTAGGTAATGTTGTTATTATATTTTATCATCTGGAAAAATCGGTATTGGCAAATACGTGTGCAATATGGGCAAATGAGCTCCGGAGGCGGTCAAAGACGAAACATAACGACGTTATTGTTAATGAATAATGACAATATGCATGTACGATGTTATTATTATGCTCGGAGGACCTGACAATAACGTCGAATGCTAATATTATATTCTCTGGGAAAAATATCCGAATAAAACATACGCGTGTATAGATTATATTATTATAACAATAAAAAATACGAAAAACGGACGAATATAGATGGAAATCCACCGTTTGATTGGTTGTTTACGTCGTTATTGTTGATTGCCGTCATCGCGATGTCATGTGACCGAACCGTTGTTAACACAGTGTTACAGACATGCACATTATTATGCCGGCGGTGCCTAACAGGTGAGTATATACTTCAAAAACGAAACAAAAACACAATGAAAACAAAATATATCATATAATATACGTTATTGGCGGGTCATACTTGACGTCCGGGCGGGTTTCATGTTAATATTATAAAATATAATGTATTATATTTTGCCATATTGTATTCAAGTTACAATTATTATTATTTATCGTGCCGATGGTATTCCGAAAGGCAAAGGACGCTCATCGACGCATAACGTTGTACACGTCAATATTATACGCACTGTATTATTATCGTCGCCGTGGGATTTTTTTTTTTGTGAGCCGTCGATCCCCGGACGGGGAGGAGGATGTGGAGCGATTCGCATTGTGCGCTTTATTCGGTTTAACGTGTATAACGTGTATAATGTATTTATTTTTAGTTTTGTCGTTGTAGTAAATAATGATTTCGATGTAATACTGAGTAGTCGAGTTTTGTACTTGAAGTCTACACGTACACACACACGCACACACGCACACACACACACACACACACCCTGCTCGGTCGTTTTTAACGCTCCGGTGCAACGTAACCGTATTGCCATGCACAAAAGGTTTGATTTAATTAATTATATTATATATACATATTGTATCGACGTGACACGAACAAGCGCAACGTGCCCCTATAGTATTACTGTCATTATAATATTACATGCGTACAAATGTTCAAGTACCTACGGCTACGATATTGTATTATGCGTTTTACTACCACAGCGGTGGAAATAACTGTTGCGTGCGTCCAATACACCGTCGTTTCAGTGGCCGAGACACGTGTGTGGGGGGGGGGGGGTTAGGGGTGGAGGTGACGGAACGTGTGCACTCGGTTGCAGGTCGGCGACGAGACCCGAGATAATAGCACGTGACTCCGGGTGATCGTATGTCGTCGTCTTCATCATGACTGTCGGAAAACGGCCGGAAGGCAATTATATAAAGTTACGAATTTTCAACGGATCTCGTGATGTAGTTTTGGATCGACTCAGACATCGTGACGCTTAATCGACGAAACTATTTCTGAATACTTTGAGTTTGTGGGCAACTCATAAGCTCGTAAACATACGTTCACACAAACACATCTGCCCACATGCATTTTGGCGTAACTGACAGATCTTAAAGTTTAACATCAATGTTCGCTGCAGATGGTTCCCGAAAAATGGGATGTTTTCATCGTATTGTGAAATAACAGTAAATATATACCTTTTTTTTATCAATAATTATGAAAGCATAAACTAAAATAAAACCCTTCGAGTAATTTGAGGAAGTCAAAATATTAAAGATTTTTTAACTTTCAATATAATAAGCGATACCTAGCATATTACATCCTAACGAGTTGCTTTTTTGCAATTAAATTATAGTCGTTTTAATTAAGCGTATGTAGTTTATTGATTGTTTTTGACAAAAAATCAAATACAAATCTAGTAACTGATTTTACGAAATATATAAAAATATTTCACATACCAAGTTAAGTGAATATAGGTCAAACATATTGTTCAATTATAAAAAGGCGTACGAGTAGAAGGAGTTCGGGTATCCAAGGCTGTAATTAGTAAGAAAATATGTCATGGGCTTATTCATATTTTGTTACCAATATCTTTATTGACTTTTGATTGTAATAACATATAATTACTGAAGTAATCCGACTTCCATTGGTTACACCGAAGGAGTCTTCAAACTTTATTACCCGAGGACCATATATAAAATTAAAAACTGTGCAATATGGGAATGCGATGTACATTCTAAGTAACCAGTCGCAAAAATGCAATGATTGTTACGGTTAGGAGAAGCCGTTGATTAGATAAGTGTAAACATATATTTAAGTATAACGTAATACATTTTCAATATTTAAAAAATGAACTGTACCTATATAGTTATGTTAAATATTTTAATGGAAGACTATAATATTGTGTTAAAAAAAAAAAAAAAAAACATTGATATAGGTATTAGGTATATTATTATTAACGAGATGATATTATGATAGTTTGTTCTGTGTCGGAAGTGGTCCTTGGGGCGTAATTGGAGACTACTAGGTTACGCCCTCGAAGATAATGGTGTAATACTCTATTTATAATATAATAGTATTTTTTGTTTTGTCCACTTACCTAAGACGTCTAAACAACTGATTTGTTTTTGCATTTCGATCGTGTTTACTTGGCACATGTAACAGCCTTTGTCAGTTTCCTCCACGTCTCGTATATGTAAATACCAAGTTCTGTAATTCTCATGACTTACGCTAAATCGACCGTTTGAAGCAACTACACGCTCGTGAAACGTTAATATTGTTTGATCTTCGGCTTTCATCCAACCGATCTAAAAGAAAATATTAAAAACTTAAAATCATGATTTTAAACCATAATAAATGGTACGATTTTTTTATTTTTTATAACTCTTCTACATCATGGCACATGTGCTTTCGTCTGATATATTGATACGATTTGTTGTATTTATACGAGAGTCGTAACTTGAAAAACAAGTAATAGAATTATTGTGTTTTATTCTTAAACGTTATCGATTTAACGATTGATATTGTCAATATTTCATGTAATTATAATTATTGTGTTTTCAAACTTTGATCATTCCGCATTTGTTTTACATTCATTCTGTTAAATTTTATATGTTTCATTAAAAACTTCAATGTCTTCAAATAAAAAGTTTTAACGAACTGAATTCAATGCAAATATATTTTACTTGCGGTTTCGAATGGTATATTTTAAAAATAATGTTCTTCAAAGAAAATTAAATAATCGTATTATCGTTATATCCCAACAACGTGGGTGTAAGAACAAAATTAATTAAAACAAACTAAAAAACCATTCAGGAGTAAATTTCAACGTTAATTCGAAAGTGTGTTACTTGTGTTTGTGTGCTATATACTGAGTTAGGTTACGTGTTAATTGTTTGTTTTGGAACGGCTATTCGAGCGATATGTGGGATATTGCTGAGTTGTCAATAATTAGTAGGAACTAGGAAGTATAAATGGGTGGAGTGCAAATAATATTATTTATTCAAATATACGAGCAGAGCGATAAATGGTGACATAAAATCGATTTTTATTTTTTACGGCAAAGTATACCTACAAAAATGACTTCTTAAGTACGAATAGCGGCCGCCGATATTTAGTTGACGGCGATTTCGACAAATGTCTTCGTCGCCACTGGCATGACGTTTTAACAATAGTGCTGCTGAGTATCGTTGGAGGCACTTGGTCGTAAAAATAAAAAAAATCTCTACGATATCAATTTCCACGGCGTATTCCGTTATGCTCGCGTTTACTAGAAACGGTATATACGCGACAATAATAACCATAAAATAGCGTTAGAGTCAAATAAACGTATAAAATATATATAATATGTATAAAAAAATTAACGATGAAAACCATTTTATCGTAGGGGCTAGAGTGTTGGAGTGAAAGAGAGAGAGAGAGAGAGAGAGAGAGAGAGAGAGAGAGAGAGGTAGTTTAATTCTATACAGATTCAATACGATCTCGTATATCAGGGCCCAGGGGGTTGTGAGGTTTGGCTGTGTCATGAAGGGTTGAAGTCACATACGTAAATAATATTATGATGCAACACGTCTGGATTTTTTTTTATTATTGCGTGTTGTACGGACCCGGTCGTCTAGTATTGTATTAGAATGCCTTCCTTACGCGACCCATCGACTAACGGACGTGTTTGACGTCATCGGTTCGCCTCCACCTCACGGGAACGATGTGCGCGTTAGGTCGGGAGCGGAAACAAAAACGGAAGGACGGACGAAATCGAATTAGGCCTGTGTGTGTGTGTGTGTGTGTGTGTGTGTGTGCGTGTGTGCGTGTGTGTATCTGCTGGGACGGACTCGTAACGTGATTTGTCCGGTCATCACGAGCGACGGAAAATTACCGTTCAGCCGCCTCACGCGCGGACGTCCGCCGCCGGAAGTAATGGGCAAGTTTTGCACTAGCTGGCAAACGTCAACTGCGTACATTATTATTATTATTATTATTATTATTGCGCAATTACACCATGTTTCATAATATTTTAAAATCGTGTACACCGAGAATATATGCGTTGCGTTTTGTGAAATTCAATAGCACCGTTCTAGTATAGGCATATTGAAAAATATTGAAACTGGAATTCACCACATTGGACAGCCTCGACACGCAAGTAGTCGAGTTCCCCCTCTCAACAGTGAGCGTTATTACTTTTTATAAACTCAAAAATTATTCACACCTGTCTCTCGACTATGCGGTTCGAGAAACTATAGCGAAGACGACATTATGACTGACTGATTTTGACGAAACCGATACACGGACCCAACATAAAACAATATTATTTATAAATACATAATTATCACGAAATGAGTTTTATCGAAATTATTGCGCTTTTAAGGTGCCGAAAGTATTGTTCGTGATATAGGTATGCACTTTGATGTTATGGGTGTTGTATTTTCGTTTTATTTACTTAGGTACTATTTAATTTGGATTCCGCCTGAGGGATTTTATATAAACCAGAAGAAACTTGTACAACCAAACTAACGTCGATCGTACGATGATAGACTCGGCATTATATATTACAGATTCTTTACATAAATTGTGTATCGATGCGTTTATTATTTTCTTTGTTGGACGGATCAAAGAGTGATGGAGAAATAGACACGAGTCCCATACACTATTTAACAACCGATAACATTGTTACATCAGGTCTTGCATAACATTATTTTAATTCAGTACTTATATCAATTCATTTTCCACAAAACTGAAATGTCTCGTAATCTGCAAAGATCTACCAAGACCTCTCACCGTTAACCCTTAACTGAATCAAATAACTTGGTTTCTCCATAAGAATGAATAATTTCATATTGTTATCTACCTATAATATACCAGAGTATTTTGTAAATACTGAAATTGTTTTATAATTTAGTAATTTGACTGAATCTAAACTGAGTATTGATTCATGGTTATAAAATCTTAAATATTTGTATTGGGCACAAATGGCTGCAAATAGTACTATTTGCCATTATATTCTATTATGTTTATAATAGTACCATCTACCATGTCACCTGCAGGTGCATTAAATAAATAATATAATAATCCATAGAACGCGGAAATCACATTCATAAATGGAAATATAAATTCTTTCTGCATAGATACGTTTCCGGATAACTGTCAGTAGGATTATGATATTAAATTTCCTAACTTGCACAATGGATTAAATTAATAATAATAAGTTGATAAAATACGGAATACGAAAGGTGTATAATATATGCATTATTTAAATACAACTTTGTATTCTCATTAGACCAACAGTCAATATTGCGTTTGCATTAAAAATAACTAATCCTATATATATATACAAATATATATAAACAAAAATCATAAACAAGAACCGGTGTACAAGATCAATTCATTTCACACTCCACGCTAAATATATCAATCATACATTAAGATGGGATCTCACGGAACGTCATGATCTGATTACTCGATGTTAAACAAAAAATTATCCGAAGTTTCGTTGGATTACACTCCGATACGCATCTAGCACAAGCTACTGATTTCATACATTTTCATAATATTATCGGTACCGAAATGAGAAAAACACGATTTTTCTCACCCCGTAAGTGCCAAATCAATGTAAATCGATAATTTGAATACTCTGTTAATTTTATCATAATTTCAATTTTTTAGGTCATTTTAATTGTTTTATTTTCGTGGGACGACGTTTTTTTAGGGAGTGGGAGAATGGGAGTTGGGTGGTTTGTACGTTTTGGGTCTGCTTCGTTAAGGTTAAGGTTAAGGCCCTGACAAGTTTGTTGCCTAGCGTCTTTCAGTCTTTGTCCTCTGTTTGATTGCAAAGATTCATATGGTCAGTTCTAAGCTATAAACATAATATTTTACAAATATGCGTTCAACTCGTTTACAAAAGCAAATGACATGGCAGAACATCGTTTTACCCACAAACTCGACGAGGTCGTTATAATATAAACCGATTTTCTTTAAGACCAATTAATCAGTTATGGGTAGACGGTAAGTTTTGCTCTAATTCAGTTAGGTAATGTTTTCATTCGTTTGACCAATTATTTCGAATATATTGTCTACGTTTCGTCGCACGTTTATTCTCCACGAATAATATTATGAAATTATGCGTCACAAAGCGGTTAACTTTGATAATGATGGAGTGATTACTAATTGATTTAATTCGCACACTACTTACTAATTGTATGAGCATATTCCGTAGTTTAAAAGGCATTTAGCAGTTTCGTTAAATTCTCTATGGTTGTAGTCAGTCGATTATACGTTTTAACATTATATTTTATAGTTTAAAAAACTTTTGGAGGAAAAATGTTTCGGTAAAACATAATCTACAACTAATTCTGATAAATAAAATTTTAGACACGAAATTATTATAATGATCATAATTTAGGAAAAATATAATATAATATAAATGTTTGTATTTATGCTTAAGGATGACAATTTTTTTTACTGAAATAAAAGAACTGTTAAACATAACTAGAATTGTATTGTTAAGACTTCAGAAGTTTTTATTCATTATTATGTATTTTAGTTAAATTAGTTTTTTTTTCGTTCTGTTCTAATCCAGTAGATAATAGGGAAAATGTTTTGTTTCTTTTTTTATTTACAATAAACCATTTGCCGCTTTTTCAATACTATTATGTTAAAGTTTTACTGCTCACATTATTTATGACCTATTCCGAAAAACTCATCAAATGTTTTTTTATTGCACACAGTCATGCTGTAATTTGTGGTATTACATTTAATTCAACGAGTTCTGTGAAAATCTTTACAAAATTAAATGCCATAAATTTCATCATGTTATGCATTTATTTAAAATTTAAAAACGTATTTTTTAACGGTTTTTATAATACAATAGTCTAAATAAATTTATTCAATATACAATTTTTAGTAACGCACAATATGTTGGTCATGTGGTATTGTTTTTAACTAAATTTGTAAATCATTATAATATTTTAAAACGCAGGTTTTATAGGTATTTTTGTATGGATGAAATAATCGCCTTTTTTCGTTTGTCCCAGATTTATTATACCATAATTTTAGACAAATTATGAATTTTTAGATAACATTTAAATGTTAATGTTTAGTTAAAAGTTCTTTTTTGATTTGTTTTTAATATTAATTTTTATTTCGTTTATTAAAATTTAAAATAATAGTCCATCAATAAGATGACAAATTTTGACCAGTGCTTGGTTCAGATGAATTTTTATATGACTTTTTTTTAAAAATTTTGAAACTGTAGGCATATTTAAGAATAATTTCTATGCACCGATACACAGTTAGGAAATACATTTATATATTA